ATAGGTCGAGTCGATCTCGAGTATGGCAATATTGGAGCTCGATTCGGCTCGATTACATACCTACATATCTATATTATATCATATATGATATATTATAAGTCAAGTACAACGAAGCAAAACTTTGTTGGTAAAATGTTACACCTATAATCGAGAGATCACGTGTTCAAGTCATTAGGGTGATAAGTGGAAAATTGAAAGATTTCTTGGATTATGTGAATGATTGGGTGAACAAGGCAGCACGTTTGTCACTTCTGCAGTGATTTTTAGTGTAATGGCCGCTGTTTTATAGAAAGTAGGCTTTTTTTATATAAGGTACGTTAAATCGTGTTCATCGTTCTAAGCCTCTCGTTTTAATTCTTAAAAGAACAGTAGGCAAAGTTTCTCTCCAATAACAACAGGAAGATTGCTTAAAGGAACCAACAAACAATAAAAAAGAGGGGGGGGGGGTGAGGGGTGGAAGTTCACTCGTGCAATAGATTGTTGTGAGAAAACTGTCAAATTAGTAGTTCCGTTGGATGACTTTTGAATGTTAGTGGTATGCCCACAGAAACTAAAAATCATGAAGTTTAACCAAGTATGTGTGTGTGTCTCCATATATATACATACATACATACATATAGCATGTAAGAAAATTAGACAAAAAAAATCTTTTTATTTTTTTTTCTAAACTAACAGGTAGTTTTCCATTAGGGTTATTTTTTTTCCAATTTTCTCCCTAAGGTATACTCTAATTCTTACTTTGTCCCCTCATTTTTATTTTGTGTCACTTAATCCCCTAAGAGATAAAAGTACCCCTTTTCAATTTTAATCCGTCATTCAATTTTAACTACTCTAACTGATGGTGATAAAGTTTCACATGAAAAGGGTGGACACATTAGGGAATATACTAACAAATGATTATCTTTTGAAAATTGTTCAAAAGAAAGATTTTGATAAACAAAAATTCATAAGAAAAAAAAATGTCTAAATAACTGACATGTGGATGCATGATTGTTAAAAAAAAAATTGGTAATTGATTTTCAAAAGTCTAATTATGGGGAGATAGAATACAAAATTTTTCTCAATTTCTTAAATTGAAGAATGGATGAAATTGATTTGTAATTAACTAGTTATACAGAAACATTGTATAGTTTCCTTACATTTGTATGTTAGAGAATGGGCATCCTAAGTATTTTGGCTAGAGAAATTTTTTAATTTTTGAAAAAAGAAAATGGTCCCATCAAACCGAGGTCTAAACAGCAAGGTATTGTCCATATAACTTAGAGATAATTTCAAAAACCTCCCTTGAGATTTTTTCTAATCACACTTAACACCCCTCATGTTTCTAAAATCACACTTAACTCCCTTAGAATGACAACCTTTGTAACATGTCAGCTCTTTTATGTAAAAATAATATTAAAAAATATATTAGTAGAGGGACTATAGCATTCTTCCAATTTTGCCCTTTTGCAAGTTGATTTTTGAATTTTAGAATATGAAAATAAAAACAAATAGAATATTTACATAAAAATTGAGGAGGTGTAAGTACAATAACTGCTGAATTGTATAATTTTTGTTGATTCATATTACCATTATAAGATCTGTGCCAAAGTTTTGGATAGAAAGGAAATAAAATTTTTTTGACAGCCACAAAACTACGTTCAACAAATACTGTTTGTTAACCAAATTTTCAAAAATTTTGTTTTTGATAATTGAACACTATTATAGGTATATTTAATATGGATTTTTTCATGATTTCAACTGCATGCCAGCAGCCTTTTTTTTTCATCAAATGAATGATTTTAACCTTATTGATTAAACTAGATAACAAGATAAAATCGTAGTTAAAAAAAGATAGATTTTCTATGTTTAGATTGTCTAGATACCTTAAAATCTATATTCGATTGTATATGCAAAAAAAAAAAAAAAGCCCAAAATGTGCCCATATTTTATGGCATTTTTGTTACTTTATTTTTACATAATCGAACATAAATGTTTTTTCTTTTTTCTTGCCTTTTTCTGCATAAGAAATATGGAAAGGGCATAAAAATAATCAACTTGTTTTTATTTTCATCTTCTAGTTTTCAAAAATCAACTTGCAAAAGGGCAAACGTGGAAGAATATTATAGTCTCTCTCCTAAATACATTTTTTAATACTATTTTTACCTAAAGGAGGTGATATGTTACAAAAGTTGTCATTCTAAGGGTGCTAAGTATGATTTCGGAAATTGTAGGAGTGCTAGGTGTGATTAGGAAAAACCTCAAGGGAGGTTTCTGAAATTATCCCTATAACTTATTCAAGAACCATCCATCATTCATGGACATTTGATTTGTAATATAAAAAGGAAGGAGCTAAAAAAGAACTTTATTTTCTATTGATTAACTTCACAATCTGGGCCATGCCTTTTTGGGTCCTTACAGTAATCTCCATACATATAACTTTTCCTCGCATTTTGCAATCTGCATTGCTGCTCAGAGTCTAGTTGCCGATACTTGTTCTTTCCAACCAAAAAAAACAAAGAACAAAGAAAAAAGTTGCCAATGCTTGTTTTGATTCCAATACTAAGATTGGAAGGAACATTGTCCCGGATTGGAAGCCTTTTGTTGGCATCCATCAATGCCAAATTCTCGATAGTGAGCCTTGAATGGCCCTTGTGTCCAATCTGGTGTCCCAAGATAACTTGGATTCCAAATGCTTCCCTCCACGTGCATTGGTCCTGTTGGGAATCCTGCTCCTAGTTGTGTATTGTCCACACCATAATTGGAGTAGCATCCACAAACCACCTGCATTAATTGCACGAAAAGACAGAAATCAAAAGAAAGTCAGAATAATCTCATGATTGAGTTAATATATAAACATGGTTCATGATTTTTATTTCGTAATTGAGTTTACTCCAATAGGTTAGTTACAATTAGTTACAACATATAAAGGGAATGCTATTGTTTTCCCTATTTAATGAAACTAAAATATTAGTTACAATTTTACTTTTAGAGTTTATCCTTCCTGTAATTCATATGTGAGGGTCAACAAGTAGACAAGAAGTATAACAATTTGGGAGAGGGTTGGGTTGGATGGTAAAAGAGGAGGAATAGTAAGTAAGAGATTTTGAAAACCTTCCACTTACACAAATAATAATAATAATAACTATAACAATTTTCAGGATATGGATATTCCAAATAGGGTGTTATTCGAATCTTTTGTTGTTTTCTGATTTATGCTAATGTTGATTTTGATTTTTTAGTTGAGATTCTATAGGTATAGAAATTGAATCGTAACCATGGTGCTATAGTTTCAGTCTCCAAACTTTTACAACCAGCCGAGTTGAGTTGAACATCTTTTTTTCTTTTTGGCATAAGTGGGGGTTTTGAATTTTAACCATTCATTTATACTCCTTCTTTTCGCACCACCCACCCCATCCTTTCCTTCAAGTTGAATATCTTATCTTTTACAATCAGCCGAGTTGAGTTACACTTTCTCCCTCCGTACCGTCCAACCCAAAATCTCTTACTTACACTCCTTCTCTTTATACCATCCAACCCATCCTTTCCTCGAAATTGAACCCTAACTGCCAAACCCAGGATTCGAACCCTAAATCTGACAGTCAAGAGAACCTTAAGAGCCCTCCCCTAACCATTAGCCAACCCCAATGACTGTTCATTTATTGTTTTGAGCTCATTCAAAATTTTATGAGATAAAATCATTGTTTGAGTTCGGCTAATTTAAGAATAACCGAGGTTTAAAATCATCTCGAGCTCAATTCATTTTACAAAAATAAGCTATTCATGCTCGAAGTTGATTTTTGATATAAATGTTTTGAAAACATAGAGTCTAGCTTATTTTTAATCTTGAGAACTCTTTTCTTATATTGATTGACAAAGCATAAACAAAAGTAATAGCATAATATGAAGCAATTGTTTCGCAGACAAAAACTAATGCTCACAAAAACAAAAGGTTCGTGTTTGCTCGTTAATTGATTGAGCTTGTTTAGGTGTTCGAACTCCATTAATTTAATCAAACCAACGAGTTGAAAATTGAACTTATTTGAATCAAATTGGACTTTGTTCTTGAATACCTCGATTCATTAACACGAGTCTAGTAATGGTAACAGAAATTACTGTCTATACTATAAGGTTCTCACCTGTACAAAATTTGCTTAGAATGGACTACCCTGTCTAGATGCTTATAATTCGTTGTTCTTGAAACAAGAATACTTATCTGCCATTTTTCAGAAAATCCATTACCTGATTACTAGATTGCAAAGGGTTTTGTCTCTACTGAGTGCCCGTTAGTGCACGTACTATGTGTCCATTGGCTCATTGGTACATTATTTATCTCCTCTTACATTTGTACAATTTCACTATTTAACTTCTGACAATAAATAAATACATAAAAATCACTGTACCAACTGACGCGAAAATCTGTGAACTCAAATGTATTAAGAAATTATGGTCCTTGGATCAATCATTCTATTGATTAACTGGATATTCTAGGCCATGCTTTGTGGAGTCATTACATACTCAAGAGTAGCTATTCGATTTTCTTGTATTTTGTAGCTTACTTATTTGATCATCATGAGTCATGACTTAGTTGCGAATAACTCTGTTTCATTCCAACAATAAATTGAGGAGAAACATTCCTCAGGGTTGGAACTTTTGTAGGTGCACAGATTGAGTCGTGAATGGTCCTCAAGAACAATACACCTTTCCAAGCCCACACGGATCTTCAGTACCACTTTTCCTGTAACAACTCAATATCACTTCTATATTTATGTCAAGTATCTTGTTTAGTTAACTTGTCATATACTGTTTATTTAAATTTCTTCTACCCTCAGATGATAAGTGGGATTGGCGCTAGAAACGGTTCCAAGCCAACATGGGTTCCAAGGGTAAACTTCCATCTCGACCATCTTCAACTTCAGGTGTTTGTGCATACCCATGACATGCGAGTAACAGGTAAAATAGATCATCTATATAATTGTGATCCCCCATAAACACTAAGAGGTCATGATGCAATAAATTGGGATCATTTCTTACTAGTATTAATAAAGCAGATACGACTCTGTGGCCCTGACAAATCACCTAAGTAGTACTAAGAGTAGCAAGATACACTTATTTTTACTTGTTTTCAGGTGAAGTACAGCTCAACTGATAAAACTCTTCACTTATAATAATTGAGAGGCTACGAGTTCGAGTAATCAAAAGGTAGATAAGGAGCCACTGTTGACACATACAATTAGGAAAGACGTGATCATCAGCACACCTGTACTGTTATGTTAAAATAACATAACATTAATTGTACAGATGGCTTTTCATGATGATCTTCTGCCTCCAGATCCACCTTCCCTCTGGCAATTGTAGTAAATTGCTGCAACAGGCGAACCTAAATTGTAAAGTTCAGCAAAGTCCCTGGTGCTGAAGTTCTGGCGCCACCCCGGAGCATAGACTGTCTGCCGCCCAAGCTGTCGGAAAAGCGCAAAGACGAAGCGGTGGATTCCCATTGATGGCCGTGGACTCTCATAGCACACAATTTCTTGGCCTACACATTTATCACCAGTTAACCCCTCAACGCAGACATGACTGGCAAAATTATGGTTTACCAGTTTTCTATGACTACCAATATCTTTTGGGTATCATTTCATTTGGTACGTAACATTTTCAGAGTTTTGGAGCTGTTAGACATTAAAATTGTCACAGGAAAGGAAAAAAAAAAATGGTAACCAATACTATATTGGACCCGGATGCCTGAGAAACATATTCATGCAACCAATTTCTCATTCCACAGTGCAATTATTGACCAATAAAATACTGTCAACATCTTTCTAGGAGCAACGATGATCACATATTTCTTGACTCAGACATCCTTTCATGACTATATGTACTCAAATGAAAAGCATGCAAAGATGGAGAGTGATTCAGGTAAAATTATTGATTCAAATGCTACACGCTTATACAAATCAACAGAAGTTGTCGAACCCAAAACATCATTTCTGAAGTTCGACAAGCATGTGGATTGAGCCATCAAGGAGATTGCCTGCCACCGAGAATGGAAATGGGAGCGATAAAAAATTCAAGTGTGGAGAAAGAACGAATTTTCCAGCTAGAGATTCGGGTCTAGTCAGGCCCTAAAAAGATAATGTTTGTTCAAAAATGGAAATAGAGGAAAAAGAAAATTAGAAGCAAACAAGTATAAGCATCAAAGAGGATAGACATAAGCAAAATTCATCGCAGCTTTAATTTGATCAACATGTGAATCTGATCAGGTCGGCTCATCCCTTCTTTTGGATGGTATGATCTGTGATGTTGTTGTCCAAGAACTAGTGCATGACAAGATCTAGTGGGAAATAAAGGGTAATTGAATCTCCTTCAACATTTGATCAGAATTCAATCTTAATCCTCTGAAAGTTTTGCTAATGTAGTCCATATGAGCCATTTTTCACATTTGTTTGAATTATTTTCCCTATAATTCCTGCAATTTTATATCTTACGCCTAGTAAAAGTGTGCATAGTATATAATTAATGGCGAAATAGGGGGATAGATTCAATGGATTTTGAAGTTTAGAGATTAAAACTAAGTTTAAGGGTGTCTGGCCTATTTACCCTTTTTACTCCTTTAATCAAACGTATCTTCAATACAAAATCAAGGTTAGTGGGAGCAAATTTGAGTAATTACACCAATTAATAAGCTCTGAACTTTAAAGATCCAAATAGAATCCGTTGCAAAGTTCAAGAAAGTCATCTGTAAATTACCCGGGGAAAGAAGGCCAAAGAAAGCATTTTCTGATACTATGGTCCTAGCTAGTATTCTTTTTTCTATTTGCCTCCTTTTTTTTTTTTGTTTTTGTTTTGATAAAGCATTTTCCCTTATTCATGTGCCAGATGCATACATGCATATCCCATTATCTGTGAGATGAGAGAAATGATAAGAAACATATGCGAACCAATCTTTAAATGAACAAAGAGAGATACTCACCAAATAATTTCAAAAAACAAAAGAAAAAAGGGGAAAAAAAAAACTTCTCACCGAATGATGCTCCTGTGGTGGCTGGAATATCAGTGACCAACCTGCAAATGGTTTATGAACAGCATATGTAAATGAACCTTGAAAGTAAGAATAGTCACATTACATATGCTTAATTTAGCCCATGATATTATGAGTAAAGCAATATTTATTACCACCGTATAAATTCCTAAGTTAGCACAATATTGGAAAAACCAAATATAAGGACATATGTGCTATTTCGACAACAAGCTTGAAATTGAATCATCAAGCATGGAATTAGGGATTCAGCCTTGACAATAATTGCAATACTTTGTCAAGAAAATTTCTCAATCAGAATTACAGAAGAAATGACAACTCTGTTTGGATTGGGGATTTTTGAAAAACAAGTTTTTCAATTACAATGTTACAATAATACACAAAAAAAAAATTCAAAAACACCAAAAATAACTTTAAAAATACAAAAAAAGCAATCTCAAAAAAATAAAAAACAACTTCAAAAATACCAAAAACATAAAAAAAAAACCTTAAAAAACACAAAAAAAAAAAAAAAAAACTTAAAAAATAATCTCACCTACAGTAAAAGTTTTTCAATTACATTGTTATAGTAAAATATTTAATATATACGAACCTCAAAAAACTCTTCGAAATTTTAAAATACATATATCAAAATACTCAAAAATACACAAAAAATTTCACTTCTTTCCTTTCTTTTTCTTCTTCTTCCTCTTCCCATCTCAACCCACCGTCCGCCATTGGCTAAGCTCCAGCCGACACTTCCATCGACGCTGGTGCTGGCCCTGACAACTCGTTTCTTTTTTTTTTTTCCCCCTCTTCTCCTCCTTCTTTAAAGAAAAAAAGAATTTCTTTCTCAAAACCCTCAAATTTAAGAAAGCTTTCTACAATTTCTATAATAAGCTATAATAAAGTTATTATAGAAACGCTCAAAATACTCCCCATTCAAACGGGTCCACTTCTCTCTTTTTAATGCGCGCTCCGAAGTACGGACCACAGAGCGGCTTTAGAAGCACGTAGGGATACTAGAGTACAATTCGTTGGTCTATGAATATTTTCACATGGTCCATGACTGAGAGTCTAAAAGTTACGTGCAGGTCAATCACTTGAAAATGAAATAAAGCGGAGATATAGTGATGTACAGAAGGGTCTCATTTCTACCAAAAGAAACAGAATCTCACTCAAGCATTCCTGAAATATTCACACGTCGACAACGTGGCCTACATTACTGTTTGTTTTTTTCTTCTTCCTACTACGTGTCCAATGTGATCCCGCGACACCATGTATGTACTTGTTACTTGCAACTTTCTAGTCATAAAAAAAAAAAAAATCCTTTTCGTTTAGCTCAACCAATAAGATGTTCCACATCGGCAAATGAAAGGGCGGGGAGGGGGGGGGGGGGGAAGAATAAAATGTAACCTCCGGCGAGTTGTATTATTGGCATATAATTTTGGATTGATTATTTTGACCTGTAGTTTCAATTTAAAAATTTATTGGGCTAAGCTCAAAACATTACAAATGGTGTCAGAGAAAATTTCGTTTAATCTTTACACGAGAAAGGTAAGCTTAGCGCACAGTGGTGTTGGTCTTTAGAGTCCGTACGAATCACTTGTAGAATATGCAAAACTAAGTACTACATTGGAGGGGATTGTATTTTCATGTGCGGGGCTAATTTTGTAGGAACCACCTCTAAAACTTACGAGAGACCTACGAGCCACTTTCGTACCACATTGGATAAGGGTTACCTCTAGAGTGTGTCCTCGGTGCACAACTAAGTGGACTCCTAACCTTCCTAAAGTAGACTCCATGAAGAGAACCCAACCTTCGTAAAGGTGCGATAAATGAGATGTCTCACATCGGTTAGATGTGGGAGTGGACTCCATGATCTTCCTTTGCAAGGATACGATCTTCTTAAAAGTGGGGTGAGTAAGATGTTGGATGAAGATCACCTCTAGAACTTGTATGAACCACATCTAGAATCCATGCACGACTAAATATGTGGGAGTAGACTCCATGATCGTCCTTTGCGATGACACAAACCACATCTAAAATTCACGCACGATTAAGTGAACTCCATGATCATCCTTTATGAGGATCAACCTTCGTAAAGGTGAGGTGGTGGGATGAGTGAGATGTGGGAGTAGATTCCATGACGAGGACATTACCTTCCTAGAGGTGGGGTGAGTGAGACGTCGCACATCGGCAAATGAAGGGGAAAAAGAATGAAATATAACATCTTGCACATTGAATTACTAATAATTTTAGATCATCCATTTTGATAATTTCAACTCAAAAAGTTAATGAGCTAGCTCAATGGGCTCGGGATGTTGCACACCATTTTTTACCGTATTTTAACAGAGATTTCATAGATCATCATTGTCACGTCACTCCTGTCCTACTCTCTCTCTTTTGTTAATTTTTCTTTTTCCTTCCTCTCTGTTCTTTGTTGTTGTCTCAAAAGTTTCCAATGCAATAGTATAATAGAAAGTTGTAGCAGCATGATGTTTTCTTGCATATTTTTTAACAGACCAGTACGCAACAGATGTTGACATTTCTAAACGTCCAAGATGACAGAGGCCATTTTCTTTTTTGGCTGCATGCACCAGATGTGAAGAGAAAGTGAGAGAGAGAGAGAGAAAGGCTATTTCTAGAGAGTACGCACCAGTGCAAATATTCCCGAAGGTTTGGATTACTGGGACTTGGAGCATCAGGGTCTACCATCACCTTCATAAACAATAATAAAAAGCTGTCAAATATGTTTTCATGCTGAATGAGTGAAATCCTAAAGGAATACCTCCAACTGAACAGCACTTTCTAGCTCAGAAAGCAGGCTGGAGTACTCATGAATCAAGCAAATAAAGGCACCAAACCAAAATGAACAAAAACAAATCCTCCTACAGACTAAAGTGCCCCCCGCTAACCAAAGAAAAATTGCAACTCGGGTCATAGAATTTCTTTCGAAAAATATTTTTACCTTGGTAATTATCGATCTACCCCATTGACCAGAGGAAAATGCATTTCAAGTGTCGGGTTGTGTACAAACTTTTGTTTTTGATTACCCTAATAATGGATACGTGGTTATGAGTAATTTGATAACAATTTTTAACAAAAGAAAGAAGTAATGCGAATAATGTTTCACTTTAATGATGATTACAAATACAAATTCAATGATTTAAGGAATCCAGTTAATCTTTATACATACAAAAACTTGATACTTTAATAAGTTGTAGGGTATTAGTGAATTCTTTATATCCTCTTGTATTAGCTTTTTTTGATTATATATGTCCATGCATATCGTTGCTATCCCATACTAGTTACAGAACCAGAAGAAAAAAATATTTCAGGCTCCAACATTGTACTGGGATTTACACTAATATCCACAGTCAAAAGCTTTTCAATGGAATAGTGGCCCGTGGAAACTGAAAATGTGCATCGATGATGGTGATGGTGATGATGATAATCAGCTTTTTATTTTTCTTGGTAATCAGAGAAGATGATCAAGCTTACTTACCAGAGTATAGAAGCTACGAAAATCATCACCTCCAATCTCAACCCTAGGCTGGCTAACAACCTGAGAGGGTCTAAACTCACAACCATTAATCACGTCTCTGTTGCCATGGATAACTCTAAGGCGTATGGACCTGTTGAAGGGGTCCAAAACATCTGATATCACACGTCCAACCACTAGAGGATCTACCCCCCTATACATCGTCACTGTTGAAACCACCTCAACAACGGACCCTAGCTCTTGGACTCCCCCGGCAAATGGGAGCAAATTCTCTCCTCCAAGGTGCCAATGCTTTGGGGGAGGGAAGTGGAGAAGTATTAGTTGTGCACATACTGTTCACGGGCATTCGCTATATATAGATATTTCAAAATTGGCAAGAGGTATCTATGCTTGGCCAATCATTATTATTTTTGGGATACATGGTATTCTTCTTGATGATAAGAATCTTAACTTTTTCTGTTTCCAAGAATTTTCTTTCTTTTTTTTTTCCTAGTCATTTTGGTTTTCGTTAGTTGATGAGTTTTAAGAAGTGAACATCCTAAAAGTGTTTTATACCTAAAAGTGGAAAAAGAAAAAAAGGAAAACGAAAAGTGTCCAAAATTAATTAATCTCTAGGCATTTTTCACTCCAACTTTCGTACTGTAAAGAGCTAACAAATATAAAGAAGTGGACCATATTGTCAATGATAGTGCTGATCAGGTGGAGATTGGTCCAGGGCATCAAAATTCCCTTCTCAAGTTTGGAACTGCAGAGTGTCAATTAGTGAACTTCCAGTGTAAAATCCGAAACATTTTTCAGTGACCATTAATCTTCTATGGACCGACGAAATTTTAGCTCCAAAAATATGTATTTTGGACCTATCATGGAAGAATTCTTTTTCTCTTTTCAATCGCTTCTTCCTCAGAGCTTTGTTTCCCTTCTGTCTGCAATAAATATTATCAAAGCATCCCATCTGTTTTTCCTACGCAATGCAACTCTAGCTTTGTTCGTCTGTGGGTTCTCCAATCTCCATACAGTTTCAGAAGTACCTTTCGCCGCTTTCGCTTATCAAGAAAGTGCTTCATTTCAGTGATTATGTTTGCTGTAGAAAGGATAATATTATAACTTCGATATAAAAACGACATTTCTGCGGCATCTATCCATGAATTTCCAGCCACTACGTAAAAAGGCGCAAGAAGTACGAGGAAGTGTATATTTGATGCTTGAAAAGGCGCAAAAAACGAGTCAGACTGTTTAACCCGGATTGAACCGTGAACTGTGGTTTTTTTATTTTGCACATCTTTTTTTTAAAAAAAATTGAACCTAAAGTTTTAAACATAATAAAACTTATCAGTAGAATCTTTTGTTCCCAATTCTAATTTCTAAAAGAGTAACCAAACTCTCTATATTTCTCACCCTCAAATTCAAAGATCGCCGTTTCTTTTGTAGTTCTATTAGATTTTGTTTAATTTCAAAAGTTCTAATGCATTTTGTTTAATTTTAGAATATGGTTGTGGTTTGTGTGAGATTTAAGATTTTTACCAAATAGGTACAATTAAGATTAATTTATTTGTTTTAATTTACAATTTTAAAAATTTATTTGTATTTAAAAATATTTAACTTTTTATTAAGTGATGTATCAATTTAGAACAACTGAAACAATTATTCTATGCACAAATATATGTGTATGTATATATATATGTATGTATGTATGTATATAAAATATTATCAAATCAGAGTTGAACCTATCTGATCGATTGAACCTCGATCCGATCATTCTATCGGGGTTCGATTAACATCCAAATTTCAAAACATTGACTTTTGTCGGCTATACTGTATAAGTGATTGTTATACTTTGAAAAAGTGAACGAACAAATTGATTTGACCAGGGTATCTGATGGACACACTAAGCCAACCACTAGATTGTTGACAACCATGAGGAGATCAAAATCTACTATTTAGTGACTTATTCAGTGGCAGGGGGGATGGTCAGATTGAAGATACTTTCTAGCAAAGTGAAAACTTATTATCAATTCGGTTTACAACATATATATTACCTTATGCTTCAACTACTAATTTGGATGTATTACGATGATCATAGTATTGTTTAATTAAGTTGAAAATGCAGAATTTTTTTTTTTCTTCAGGAAGCGACGTTTATGTTTGGTTTAGAATGTATGCAATATTATTGTGAAATTTTATATGGATAGAATTTTATGAAATTTATAAAGGAAATATAGATAGAGAAGTAAACTTTTTAAAATTTAAATGGGGCAAATTTAGTTAAGGAAGGAAATTTTACAATATTATGGTGATGCAAATAAGGTGCAAAATAAAAAAAAATTGTTAAATTTCAAGCCTATTATGTAATTTTTTAAAACTCGAGGGGAATAATTGCCACCCTCAAGTATACATAATTCCAACCCCTACCTTCTCTGGTTTCTATTCACATTTTTTTTTGTTTTTTTTGTGGGTTTCCATTCACCTTGTTTGTACTCAAGTTGGCAAGTTTACATGCAGACAAAATACTAACTCATTCTTATTCTCTCAAAAATAGTAATCCTATACATTTCTTTTAGCTATTTGTAAGTCCCTGAACTGCTAAACAGAATCCGTCTCTGCCCCTAAACTTTAAGTTTATGATCTAGCCTCTATTATTTAATTCTTCAATTTATAGGCTCTCATAAATTATGCATGTTGCCTGTGAATGACAATAGATTTGAAGTTCACGAATGCTAATTGAGTAAAGATTACTTTAAAAAAGTAGATGAAGCTTTTAGAATTTACTTAGAACAAATCTATCGTTCAAAACGAAGAAGAATTGCATCCTATCAACTGTAGTGAGTCAGAATATATATGTTGAGCTACAAGTGATGATGCTGGTAAAAGTTATATATTTCGAATATGTTTGCTGTCAATGGTGTAAAATATAACTTCTCTTTTGGCCATAGAGGTCCATTTTTCCCCCTTATCTTACAGAAGGAATTTGTCATGGTCGATTCATTAAAGATATTAGATACCTCAATCTCAAACATTTGGAGAAGTTCCTTTGATATTGAATACGTAACCTTGGGCTTTAAACACACTAAAAGATTGAAGGTGGATATATTGGAAGTGAAGTATTGTATCTTTTCTTTTTTGGGTAAAATACCCAAAAAATCTTGTGATTTGTCGAATGTTCAATTTAACTCCCTCTGATTTGAAAACTTACACTATAGCTCACTATAATTTCAATTAAATTAAAAATTGGACGAAAAGCATCCAATCTAATAACAGTACATGAAATATCAATATTGCCCCTGCAATACATAAAATGCTTTCTGTTCAATTTTTAATTTAGTGGAAACCATAAGGTACTATAGCATCATCTGTGGAGGCTCATCTAGCAAATGCAATCCTGGCTGTGGAATCAAACTTTGTTTCGCCAAAACAATGAAACATCAGCACATTGATTCCCCTCTCTCCATGCATACGAAAGCTTGCATTCCCTTGATTTCCGCATCCACTCCTTGATTTGTTTGATGATGTTATGATGCAAACTATCACATGGATTGCTCTTAATCAGCTGTAGACCTGTTTTGGAGTCCGTCTCGTCACTGACACGACCTTCTTTAACTCCATCCACCAGGCCAGTTTTAAACCTTGGGCAATAGCTCATAACTCAGTCGATATGTTGCTGGTCAAACCCAGATTGATACAGAACCCTCGTAACCATACATCTTTATCATCTCTAATTATCCCTCCTCCTCCTGCTCTTCCTGAATTATTTGCAGAAGCACCATCCACATTAATTTTGATCCATCCCAACGGAGGGGCTTTCCATCCGATGAAGTGTTATATCTTTTTCAATGACTGTTCTGTTGACCATATGTCAAGTCAGGACGACTGAACAAGTAAAGTAGACCGTTGAATATTTTGTGAGCCATAATATTCCTTCCGAGTTCCGGAACAAGAGGAACCACTGAGTAATTGTTAGAATTGAGTTTACGTCCGCTTGCATGATGGAATCTGATTTTGGAAGGGTACGATTCTAACTAATGCTTTCAATTCAACTCAGATGCATTCTGTAGGCCTATTTTTTTCTTGCTCCCCTAGGGAGATGAATTCCTGGAGAAAATTCATGGCATTGCGTTGTGTCCTTATTTGTTTTGCCTTTGAATTTTTTTTTTTTGTGTCCCAATAATCCTTCTTATATTTTGCTTTGCTAAACAATCGCAACACCACTTTCATTTCACTCTTTGCTTCTGATGAACTGTTTATTATTAAGAGATTTGGGATCTTATAGTTCTTCTGAGATTTTAATCTAACTAATTATTTGCATTCTCTTATTCACAAGGTGTGTAATATGTACTTTTACCAAACTTGGAGAGTCTAGAAGAAATATGGACAACATCCAGAATTGATATTACTACTTGATAATCACACACACATATATTTAGCATGGTATATTAGGAAACGGCGAGAGAAAGGGAGGAATTAAATCCAGACCTCTAATTTTTGGAACTTCCACCTGCTTGATAATCACATATCTTTCCTAGGATTGTGTTGCTGCTAGAATTATCTGTTTCCTTCCTCTTTTATTGTCTGAACTCTGAAGCATTAGGGATGTTTACTCCACGCAGACGCAGAGGTGAAACGGTATCTTCATGCATGGACATATTCTAGACAGGGGTAGATCACTAGTAGCCTAAGGGCTAAAGCGAAAAAGGGTTCAGAATAAGAGAAAGAGGGCATATAAATTTGTGTACTAGAACCAACCAAAAACTGTACATGGCTTATGAGGAGAATATTACTTGAAAGTTCAAAAAGCCAAAGTTCCCACCCAAGTATATAAAGATAAAAAACCCACCTTCCGATGTCGTTTCACATGAGATCTTTAGTGTCAATTTTCAGTGGTAATTCAGTGTCAACTTCTATATTTATACCGAATGCCCTATTATTTAAGTTGTCATGTGCTATTTAGTTAAGTTTTTTTTTCCCTCATGTGATAAAGTGAGACTGACACGGGATTTGGCACCGAATAGTGGCACAGAAGATCTCAACTGATGTCATTTCTGCGTTGAAAAATTAATTTGACATTTTTCTATATTAAATTCAAAACACAGCCTTTTTTTCAAAAAAAAAAAATTCGGCTTCATTTTGCAAAAATTGCTTAAATGGATGAGTCTCAATTTTAAAGTGCAGAAGTTGGTATGTCATGTTGCAATATTGAGTTCTTAATTTCATTCTCTAAGTTATATGTTGCAATTTTTTTCTCGTAGCCGACTAGAAATATCTAGATTAACCAACTCATGTTGAGAAAAAT